CTAGAACATATTTCAAAATGAATGGAGAAAAAGCAACTGCTTGTGATAATTATATCAGAAAAAAATAATTAAATCTTTCTGCTTGCTCTTAATATAGTGAATATAATAAACTAAGAGAAATGTTTGTTACTGAAAGTTATAAAAAGAAATACTTTTGTATTTATAAATATTAATATGTCTATTGATTTAATCATGAATAATAAAAAAAGAATACTAAAATGATTAATAAGTTTAGAAAAAGAGAAATACTATTAGAAGTTTATAAAGAATATGATAAAATTAGTAAAGTAATTTTATTTTGCTTTATATATAAAAATGATTTTGTTTATGAAATTATCTATAAGAGTTTTATAAAAGTCTTTGCTACTAAAATATTTTAATATATTTATCAATAACTCAGTCCTAATCAAAAATAATAGCTTACTTACTTGGATTATATCAATGTAAAACTTTATTAAGAATATCTAATTTCTTGTAACAATGATAAATATAATTGTATACAATCTGAACTTCTGATTAAATTGGATAAAGAGAAATAATCTATAACTTTGAAATTAATTCCAGAAAAAATAATAATAAATAAATTAATTGAAGAAATCAGCTTTATATCTATTTTAACTTAATCTTTTCAACTCAAATTGAATGAAATATATGAAAGATTCAACATTATTTATCAAGCTCTTAATGAACTTTCATAATAATTTGATAACTATTTAAAGGATATCTTTGTAAAACAAAATAATAGCTACTATATAGTCAAAGTTTACAATAATCAAAATAAAAAAAATTATCAGAAAAAGCATATTCAACTGATGTTAAATATGAGTTAGATAATTTTCTGATTAGATTTAATAATATAATTTTCTTTTGAGTTAATTTTAAACAATAATACTAATATTTCTAGTATATTTAGAATTAATAGTTCTATCTTTAATATTGATTTCTTGTTTGGTAAGAGATAAGTAAGATATTACTTGATATACAACTCTTATAGGAATTTTTATAATAATATAGATATCTACTAATATGACTTAATATAATAGAATTCTGATTACTTCTTTTTTAGTATAATAAATATCATATCTAACATTAGTTGAATATACTTTTTCTAATAGTTTTCCTTTGTCTTGATTATTATAAACTTTAATTATATAATAGTTATTATTTTGTTCATAGAAATATTCTTTAAATAATTATTAAACTATTATGTTAGTTCATTAAGCATCTAATAAATAATATTAAATTTTTTTTGTATTTCATTCAATTCAAGTTGAGAAAATTAATTTGAAATAGAAGTAAAACTGATTTCTTTAATTAATTCATTTATTATTACTTCTTTTGGAATCAGTTTTAAAGTTATAAGGCATTTTTCTTTATTTACTTTAACTGAAAGTTCAAAATAATAATATAATATTATATACTTTTCTAATCTAGAAATTACAAAAGAAAAAAAGATTTCAATATCAATTATATAAATATGAAATTTATTATAATGATTATGAATATGAAAATATAATTCAATATTAAAAATTATTTCTTGAGAAAATAAAAAAATATGAGTATTTGATAATAACTTATAAAAAAGATATATACTAAGTTCTATTATAATTGAAAAAAAAATAAGTATGAATATATTTTAATTATTTATAATGAATATATATTTTATTTTAATAATGAAAAGAAAAATATTAGATAATTATCATTGTACAAAAAGAGAAATAAAAAATTAATTATGATTAGTGAATTTTTAACTAAAAATCAGGAATCTTTTCATTTAATATCAGAAGAAATTTTATCAAATCTAATCATTTTAAAGGAAGCATATTATATATTTAAAGCCAGAAAAAAATAAAAATGATTATTAGACAAGAATAAGTTAACATTTAGTTAATCAAGTAGAATTAAAAATAATATTTTCTAAGTGTATTAGAGTTTTTATATTTAATAATAATTCAAATTATGCAGCATTTATGCCAGATGTTCTTGTTATAAAAAAAAGAAATATTGAATTTGGATAAAAATATTTCAAAAATGAGAGATATAAGATGACAATCAAAAGATATCAAACAAATTTTAACAGAAAGAGAATTATAGAAACAAAATATGATTGGTGAATGCAAGTTGTATCATGAAGAAGCAAATGATCTTAATTGCATCAATTATTATAAAAGAAAAATTATTTCTCTTTAACCAAATTTTTTAGAAATAATTAAAGAAGCAGGCCATATTTGTATTTTTCTTCCTAAATTTTATTGTAAGTTAAATTTTATTGAAAGATATTGGTGAGCTGCCAAATGATTTGCAAGACAAAATTGTGATTGTTCTTGGAAAGAATTGCAAGAAATTGTTCCAAAAGCATTAGCTTCAGTTGATTTAATAACTATTCATCAATTTGCAAGAAAATCATGGCATTATATGGATATATATAAACATGAAATAACAGGTAAACTTGCTGAATATGTAGTAAAAAAAAATAAATCACAGAAAAATACCAGAACATCTTTATCAAGAATTTAAATAAAATTACAATTTAATTTTGAAATAACTATCTATAGTAATAACATACATTATGTATAATTAAAAATTATAATTTTTTATAATATAATAAGCAAAAATTTTTTTTGCCACCTATCAGTGGCAATTTTATAAATTTACTTATAATTTTACATAAAAATCACATGCTATTATCAAAAAAAATTCCGGACTAATGACACTTTTAGGCAATTTCCAAAACAAAGATTTTTGTGTTCCTTATATATCTCTGACATGAATTATGGTTTTCCGTATATTCTGTTCGTTACGTATACATTACGTTCATATTATGGCAATTTCCGAACAAAGGTTTTGTGTTCCTTATACATCTCTGACATACATTATGGTTTTCTGTTCGTTACGTATACAGTTCATGATTTCTGATACGTTCCGAGCAGATACCAAATGGACCTCTTTGCATTCCTTACGCATCCCTAACATACAGCCCTGACACGTCCATGATCGTTCCGTATGACTCCGTAAAATTCTGTATGTGTAACGTAATATCCCGTATAAATCACGTAAAATTCCGGACACAATTTTTCCGTAGGGAAGTCAGATAGTTACTTTTTCAATTTATTCATTTTAATATAAGGTTACACACATGTGAATTTAATTCATAAAACCATTTTTCGCCATATAAAATATTTATAAATATTGCATCACATTAGCCTATCTCAATTATATAATAGATACAAGCATAATATTTATTTTAAATGATAAAACTTTCTAAGTCATTTTTTTCTAGAAATAGATAAACCATAACTTTTTAAGCCTCTGTGCTCTCTTTAATCCAATCAAGATACTTCGTACTTCCTTCATCAATCTATTCATCAATATCGGTATATTGAGTATTTTCTAAATTAAACCAAGGTTGTTTACTCAAAATGAGCTTACCTTAATAGAGATGACTCCGGGAACTTGATATACGTGATTTTTTTCAACATATTCTATAAGTTCTTGAACGTGTTTCTCTTCAGTTTTTATGAGAAGCATCTGTTCCGTAGCCTCCTCAATTTTTGCATCCCACCCTTAAATTTTACAAATTCAAACCGTGATTAATTGTAAAAATAAATTTCATGACAACTAATAACTTACAATAAAGCGAGGTTAACCCATGAATAATGTTGACGGAAGCGGCAAGTTTTTTCTCAATTAGACCTTTCATTGTGTTACAAATTGAATTAAAATTTTTAAATGCTAAGATTAAATAAAAGGCCAAAAAAAGCAAACCTCTAGCTAATTTTTTTGCAGTTTCACCCGGACAAGTAACAAAAATGATACGAGCTGTGACCAAATTTTGTTGAGGCATTATTGACAGTTATAGGAGTAAGCTAGGTAGACGTCTATGTAAAGAGAGCAATGAAGCCATTCTTGTAAGGTGGCATGAGTATTTTTAAAGAAAATTGGATAGTACGTGACCCGAGCATTTTTTTTTTGAAAATAATGCAATAAAATTCATGAGAATAAAACAATACATGTAAACATCGTTAATAAAAATACATACAAAACAATTAAATAATATAAAACAATTAATACATGTATGTTGAAAAAGACAATAATAATACATGTACATGTAATACGTATTGACATGTGATATTTTTTCCAAAATTGGACCGAGTGCAATAGAAAATGCTACACTTTTTCAAATGCACGAACCTATGTGAAAAAATTGTTGTACAATTTACAGTTGCGGTGGTATCAAAATGAACACAGGTTGAACTCACCATCGGTCAAAATATGGAACAAAATTAAATTCATATATTTTGCCATAGATATACCCGCAGTTTTACCAATAAATAAATCAGGTTAACAGTAAGCAACAAGAAAAATAGCCGTCAAAACTAATTAAAATACCAGTCAAATATACACATACTGACCAAAAGTATTGTTTTTGTTTAAAAGCTAAAGAGTTCTGGATTTCTTTATCTTAAGATAACATCTTTATTTTCTACTTTAATTTTTGAAAAAAATGACAAAAACTCGAGAGTTAACCAATTTTGAGTGTGGTATAATTATCAATCTTCACAAGAGAAATCACACTGTCACAGATATTAAAAAAATACTTAAAATACCTAGAATGACTTGTATTAATGTAATAAAAAAATTTGAAAAATCTCAAACTATATCTAATATTCCTCACTCAGGGAGACCATCTCTTTTGAAGGCTATTGATAAATATCATTTCATTCATACTGCAGTTGCCAATCAAAAGAATGCTGCAGAGAAAATAACAGAAAAATTTAATAATCTTGGACTGACTCAAGTTAGTATAAGTACTGCAAGACGTATTCTACATGAACAAGGATATTTCAGTCATATTGGTAGAAAAAAACTACTTATTTCAGAAAGTAATAGAAAAAAGTGATTAAGATGATATAAAGAACAAAAATAGTGAGATGAAGAATGGAAGAATATTATTTGGAGTGATGAATCTTGCTTTCTTTTGTATAAAAATAATGATAAATATCATATATAGTGTAAACCTCATGAATAGTATGATATAGATTGCATATTTTCTACTATAAAAAGTGATAACAAAGGTATTATAATTTGGAGATATTTTATAAAAAAGAGACTTGGTTCTTTAGTAGTTGTTGATGGATCAATTACAGGCAATAAATATAAAATACTGTTAGAAAAGCATTTATTAGACTTTATACAAAGTCTTGATAATGATATTATATACACTTTTCAAGATAATAATGCACCTGTACATAGGACAAAGTCTGTAATTGAATGAAAAGAGGAAAATTTGATTACCTCTCTTCCATGGCCTGTATAAAATTCAGATCTTAATCTAATTAAGCATCTATGAGATATTTTGGATCAATGAGTACATAGGCTAAAATCTTATTCAAAAAATTTGTAGAAATTAAGTAATATGTTAAAGATAGAGTGACTAAAAATTTCCATCAGTGATTTAGAAAAATTAGTAAATAGCATGCCATGTAAAGTTAATATTGTAATTAAAAATAAAGAAAATCTCACAGAATATTAATTAAAAATTCAAAAAGTTCATATTTAGATGAGTCTATTGATATAAAGTTTATTATGTACTGTTAATACTTTTGTCATATAAAGTTATTTCAAATTCTAAATAAAATTTTACATTTTTGATAATAATTATCATGTGACCAATACTTTTGATCAGTATGTATACATGACATAAAATATAAATAGATGATAATTCATGATATCTTTTTTTACTATATAACCAGATGAATAATTTCAAGATAAGCAAACTGCCAATACTTATTTGAAATCATGATCATATATTATTTGAACAAATCAGAAAAGAAAGATATTATATAAAATTCAAAGGAGAGAAAATAAAGTATTAGTCATTATGCAGCCTATTAGTATCATGTAATTATTAGAGTTATTTCAAGTTATTCATAATGAATCAACATTATCATAATATAAATATGGTAATATTTTTAATTAGAATGCAAATTTCTAATTCATTAGCACTATAATCACATATCTTTTTATATGATTTAATATGTATTTTGCTTTGAGAAATAGACAAAAAATATAATGAATTGGAACCATTCACTTTGAAATCTGTATTTGAATTTTATTAGATCAGAGTTCTGTATAAAGTATTCCAATCATGTAGCCATCATAATCAATTCTATATCTAGATGTTTCATAATTATAAATATAAAAATGATCATGATTATTACACACATCAAACCAAACACAAAAGCTAAATAGTATTTTATATCCTACCAGATACTATGTCCAATTTGATTTGAATTCAGTTTTCTTGATAAAAGTATACTTTGACAATCTAATGATATATGAATCTGGAAGTTTGCCTACTCTTTTTATTTTTTCTATACAGATAAATATAATATAAGAACTCAAATCAGAGCATGAATATTATAAGTCAAAAACTTCATCTTCCAGTTGAATTGAAGCAAAAAATTTTATAATATTACTCACATAAATCACATTTTAATTTGATATAGAATCACATGCTATGTAAAAAGTAAATTCATGTTTATGATAGACTTTTATATAATTACTAATTAATAAGCACATTATCTTTTTATCAAGATATGAAATATAAAATGAGATGACTCACATTCTCAAGAAAATTTCTCACTTTCAGTAATAGTTTTTTCATAGATGCTTTTAGTTATTTTGTAAAAATCAAAGTATAGCTTATACTGAGATTAATATTCTATCTAAACTTTCAACTGATATTTAGTACATAATTATAAATAATCCAGTATAGTAAATATTAATAATGGAAGATTTGGTGAAATCTGCAACATTCTTCATTTATTTATTAATTAACTTCATATTAATAGTTATTTTCTAGTTTTAAGTTATCTAATACTGATAATTTACCATTTATTCATTCATATCCAAAACATCACAATCATAAAATGAATCATAATTCTTCAAATATTCATATAAATATATGTGTATATATACATTTGACAAAATAAATTTCAATTTATAAAGAGATTAAGATGCAAGAGTTATAACACAAAATTATAATCTTCTTACTAGTCAAGATTACTATTTTATAATATATTTGTATAAATAAATATTTATCAATAACTTTAATAATTTTCAGAAAGATAATTATATAAATAAAATATTAAATATAATAATAGTCAACTATATTATTAATTAGCTATAAATAATGAAAAATATGTAATATTCTTATATAAAGTAAGATTAATATCAGAAAAAAAATTTATATCAATAATTTCTTGAATTACTTTAAAATTTATTTTTGAACTTGTAGAATGAATAATCTTGTATAAGTTTATTTGTTTATAATTATAAATAAAATAAAATATAAAATAATATTTAAATCTAAGATTATTTTATAAAACAGAAAGAATATATTTATAAGAAATGAAATGAATATAAAATATAAATAAATTATTAATATAAATACATATATTATTAAATATAATTAATTAACATAATTCACATTAAAGATAAAATCATAATTAGTTATAGTTTGATCATAATTCTCTGATTAACTATTGTAAATAACTAATTATAATTAAATTATAATTCTTTGATTAAATATCATATTATTATAATTAATTGAAATATCATTTTTAATTTATATTTTTAAAAAGTAATAAATTATAATCCAATAAATTAATAATAATTAAAAATAATATAAATAATAATAATTAAAAAATAATTAAAAATATAAAAGAATAATTAAAAGAAATCTAATTAAAAATATTAATTATATAAATTAAGAATAAGAAAATATATAGTGATTATCAAAAGTAATGCAACGCTTAAATTTTTTACTAATTATAATTAGTAAAATACATAATTTTTCTTATATATAAAAGTTTTTAATTTTACTAACAA